TAGATAGCTCTTTTTTTTAGTTAGGTGTTAATCTTTTCTATAGAAAACGATTGGCTATAGAGAATTATAGTTCACGATAAGATTGGTTGGGGCTTACAAAATTTTTACCGGCTAATAATTTTCAGTAAAAAAGTTAGGATATAAGATTGACCGAAAAATTTAATGAAAATAAAAAAATAAGCCTTTTCTATAAAAAAAAATAAAGACATGTCAAAAAAAAAATTGTTTTAAATTAAAAAAATTATAATAAATTTATCAAAATTTTTGCCTAAATTTGTGAAAATTATTAAATTTTGTAAAATAAAAATTTGTTTATGGTTATAGGAAAGAGAAAATAGCTGCTATAAAATGTGCATGATAAGATTGTAGTTTTCAAAGATCACATCACTTTATCTAAAATTATTAAATTAAATTTATATTACAATTAAATAAAATTAATATATCCCTAGAAAAAAACAAATTTTATGGTTTTTTTTCTAAAAGTCCATCACGCTCAGACCACCGCTCGAAATTATAAATTCTTTTATTTTTCACGCATGACTCGTCATGACCCATCATCTTGTGGCGAGAATTTTCAAGGCCACGCCCACCTCTAAAAAAATATTATTAAGAAGCCAAACCAGAACTTTAAAATTATGAATTTAAACTATTAACCATAATAACAGGAACATAATTTCATTATAATTTAGCTAATATAAATGTGAAACATACATTGCTATTGATCGAATGTTAACGTTTTATTTTGATATTAAAGCGAGTACTTTTTAAAAAAAAGAATTTTAATGTTTATTTTAAATTTATTTGATATGATCAAAAAAAAAATATTTGTTATTTGAAAGAATAATTATTTTAAAGATTTTAAAATATTTATAATTTTTCCTAGACGTGGGGTAGGGGAGGGGATTACCCAAAGGGTTGATTCCATGATCTCCCTCTGAGTTTAGAATTATACCGAGAGGCCTCTTCTAGACATATTCAACAGCACTCTTAACTTATATTATATAATGAGTTATAATAATATCAGAACTAAAAATTTCCTTTTCTTACATTGTAATATCTCGTTTTTCTGGAATAACGATTTAATTTTCTCAATTTTAAATAATTTACTATGATATTTTAAACATCGAATTTTACTGGAATCAGCCTTGTAAATTCCAGTTAATTTTGCTGTGAACTTAAACTAATCTTAATTTATATATCCTATTTTTTCGTATAAATTTTAAAAAATATACAAAAATATATCGCGAGAAATTCTGAAATTCATATGGTATGCATTCTAATCGGCAAATAAATTTTTAAAAAATTAGAATTGACCATTAGAGATAATTCAAATTTAATAGATTCCTAAAGTTCACTTGAGTATTCAGGATATCATTAATCCAAAAAAACTTATGACATATACAAATGCTTTGAAAATCAAAACCATATATATTAAAATTATTATTCCTAAATTAATTTTTCAGCGCTAATTAAATTGAATAGAGTAATAGAATAAAGCGCATAAATATTAAAATTTTACTAATTCCATTTTAAATCCTATAAATTGCTTTAGCTTCAACTTTTAATTTATAATTTATTCTATACAAAAAAAATATCCTTTATTGTAAACAATTCATTTTTTATCCTTGAGACAATTTTAGTCTATAGATATTTTTAAGATGATCTTAGAATAAAATTCGCTTAAGTAATGATTATTTGGGATTTATGAAAAAATAGATTTATTAATATAATATTTAAGCATGGCTTTAAGATATGTAAATTATTTATGCATAAATTATATTATTTCATACATAATATAAACGGAATGAAATACATAGACTGCCAGGTGTATGAATTAGTGATGGCTTAAAAATTTTTAATCATTACTATTTATTGGCGTTTCATATGGGATGTATAATGTTGAACGTTTTTATCTGTTTTATTAAATATTAGATAGTATCCTTATATACAAGAAAATTTGTTTCTATTAGCGTCAATGAGTGTATGTGTAACTAAACTAATATTTTTGGGCTTGAATTAGGCAGGTATCAGAATTTTTTCATAAAGCCAACTAGGTATAAATCGGAGGCGATCACGTGATTCTGTTATAATATATTTAAAAATGGATCATATTTGCCTATTAGCAAAGTTTGGGTGTTATTTATCAAATTGCCATAAGGCAACTAAAGCTATATATCATTATCCTACATGATATATATTTATTCATAAATTTAAGACATAAAAATGAGAACATTAAATTTACTGAGTGTACCTAAAAAGAATTATTCATTGTTCATTTTTTTCGTATTATGAATAAAAAAAAATCTAAAGGTGAGTTCAGGGTCGGCTTAATTCTAACCAGCCCTATGTTAGCAGACTATTTAGTTTCATATAAACAACCTAATAAATAATAGGCTCTTTAAATTTTAATAATGCTGCTCGTTTAATTTGTACAATATCAATAGAGAAAACCTTGTATTTAATATATAAATATGATTAAAAATTTAAGAAATTGAGTTAGATAATAATTTTTATTAGAAAATTTATATATTCCTAAAAAAAAGACAATTTTTAAAAATAAATATTTATTGCAATATTTTTATTCATATCCAATCAAGCACGCTGATTTTTTGGAAAAGATTGTCATGTCAAATCACAGTTCAAAATTAGAAATTCTACATCTCACGTAGTGACTCATAAAGGCCCATTGGACTTTGTAATTAGATTTAAAACTTATGACCCTATAAACAGATTAGTTTAGGTTAAAATTTGCTGAATTGGTGTGGTTGTAGAATAACCCTTTATTGCTATATTTCAACATTAAAAAAAACCCTCTATCACCTATAAAAACTTAAATAAAATAATCACTGAGATTGTTTAAAATTTTATTTTTGATATTTATTGAAATTTTTAATAATATAAAATATTATAATTACAAAATAATTTATAACCGGGGGAGGGACATATTTTTAAATTATTTTTTGTTATGAAAAGAAAAAAACAATTTTATAAAGCAATAAAAAAATTTCGAAAACAAACTCCCTTTTTTGCTTAAAAATACAGGTAAAGCATTATAGGTAAACCGGAAGTTAAAGACTCAAATTGGCTCCAATTTTTATTTTATTTTGATAGTCCTTTAGAGAATTTTTTTTACCTACAATATGATATATTATATTATTTTTACTATAAATAGTTCTTGAGATATAAGCATTTTAAAAATTTTACAGATTCCAAATTGGCTCTTTTTTGTACCTATAAGCCCCTATATCTCAAGAACCAGGTGTGCTAGCGAGCTAAAATAAACGGCTTTCTCTTTTATTTCCTCTTCTAAATAATTCCAGAAATTTTTAGCAATTTTAAAAGGGGTCGGTCGAAAATGGGCCTTTTTTTGTTCGATTTGACATGGAATGACCCTTTAGCGTTAATACATAGCGAAACTGTACAAATAGAACATTGATCTCCTAATATATTTTCCCAAGTGATTCCGAATCACTAAAAAAAATTTTTATAGAAATATGATCCGATCTCCTTTTCCTTGTATCATCAGCGACATATTTTTTATGAAATTTTGACGGAGTCGATATTTTGGATTGCTTTGCAAGGTTGATGATTCACCTAAATCAAAAATCTTTTGAGAGATAAAAATTTTCGATAATTTTTAATCGAAATAGAGACCTCTTATATAATCACCAGAGCCGTAATCTGATATAAAACTAGGTAGGGGTATAGGTTTTGTAACTGCCCTCCAATTTAATTTAATTAGGTTGTCCTCGACTTCCTTTGAGTATATTTCAAAAGAAGAATCCGAATCAGTTGAACATATATATCAAACAAGAAAAATTTTTTTTTTAAATTTTATAAAGACATAATATCTTTAAAATATATATGTAAAATAAGCCTTATTGCACAGCGGGACATAAAATGACCGGATAATTATAATATTATTTTTTAAATGGGGAAAATTTACCATCTGTGTATTAAATTAAATAAAAAAAATCAAACTAGGTTATGTCCCACCGTGTATTAAAGGTACTTTTTTAGGTGGGACAAATTTCAAACGGCTGTGTAATAAAGGGATAATGTATTTAACACATTCTATTATTGTCATCAAGACATTAAAACTTTAAAACTAAAAAAAATACCATTGAAATAAAAAACTTAAAAAAATATATATATAACAAGTATATAATTTAGTTTAACTAATTTTAGCTTAGTGTATAATTGTAAAAGTTTTAAATTTTGATATAAACGAGAATATATAAAAAAAATTGATGATTAAAATCAAAAGTGTATAAATTTATAAATTTTAAATATATTTGGTATTTTAAAAAGAAATATAATTTTAATTTGAATATACATGATAAAGAATAAAAATGCTATAAAAATTTCAAAAAAAAATTATATTGTTAACATCATTTTCCAAGACGGGGTTTTCTTAGAGGGTTATTTGTATGATCTTGTGAGTTAAGCATTAGCTCTAAAAGTTTCTCCACATATAATTCAACATCGGTCTTCACTTATATAGAATATATATATAATGAGTTAAAATTATCTCAAAACTAAAAAATATTTTGTCTTAATTGAGTCTTATATAACATTAATATTTTTCTGGAATAACGATCTAATATTTCTCAATTTTAAATCATTTACATTTTTTTTTATCGAATTACCGGAAATGTACTTTAGTATGTGTATAATACAGATCTTGCAAATTCCAGCCAATTAAGATTAACACTAAATTTATATGCCCCATTTGTTTTATATAAATTAAAAAAGATCCACACACATATTTGGCAAAATTCCTAAATTTATAGTGTATAGTTAACTCATGTTACAATAAATTGCCAGTAAAGTAAAAAAAAAATTAATTAAAAATCGCCCTTGTAGACGATTTTTATTGTTTCCGAAAATTCATGCGAATATTCCAGTAATCGTTTCCAGAAAAACGTCAGATATTTACAAATATGCAAGTCATATATATTCTAAAATTTTAACATTCATAAAATTAAATTTTTAGTTACTTCGAATGTAGGATAAAAGAAAAAAACACCAAAAAATTAGGTATATTAAGAATCGCATTTTTATATATTATAATTTTTTTGGCTTCTGCTCCTTATTTATAATTTATTCTAAAAAAAAAAATACTTAATGGTAAACAATCTAATTTTATCCTTAAAACAGTTTTAATTTATAGGTATTTTCAAGATAATTTTAAGTTTGAGTAATGATAGAGTTGGCTAACGAAAAAGTAGTCTATTTATTGAATACTATGGCTAGGACAGGTAAATTTGTTTTGACTAAAATTTATTAAATAATTTCGTTAATAATACAAATTATCAAAATAATATGTTAACCTATGCATGGCGCATTAATTGATGATGTCTTTAAAAAATTATAATCTATACTATTAGAAACATTAACAAGAATCTTCATTTACTTAGTAACCTTTAAAAGAATTATTCTTTAATCAATTTTGAAATAACAAAATCATTTAATTCAAAATGCAAAAAAAAAAGATTTAATTTTTATTTAATATTTGGATTTAATCCCTACTACTGATCATTAAATATGATATTCTATTGATATATTTTAAAATAATGGTTTTTCTTCTGACGATCTGCAAAAATATGTAGTTCCATATTCTTGGATATCAGTGTCAACTGAATGTAATGATTTTCGAATTGGAATTTGTGTTCATAATTATTGATTTTCTTATAATTAAAAAATTTTTTTTTTAAATATAATTCACAAAATATAAATTTTTTATATAAAAAACACACTTATAATATATTTATTTATTCCTTCTTCAAATGCGATTGAACATTTGCACCAAACTTTTCTTATATTTTTCATTCAGTACATTAGGTAATTAAACATTTACAAATGGGATTGTAAGAAAAACGGGGAAGGAAAAAAAATCTTTCTCCTTCTGACGGCATTCAGTGAACCTGCCTTCACCATTTTAAGCCAAGTTTTATTACCATTTTTCATTTTTTACAATAACTAAAAATATTAACTATCAGGATTATCAATTTTATTAATTACTCTCAATTTAAATTACCATAATACCGATATCATGTATAAATGTTCTTACTTGAACATAATATAATTATAATTAATTTTTTTTTAAATTTATATAACCACATTATTATATTATTATGTAATAAATTAATGATCATTATCCCTAATTACGGTAACCCCATTTATTAGTAATATTTTTTCTAACTCGATTCCATACGAGTTAGTACTATGCTTTTAGCCCACTTATTCTCTTTGTTATCAAATAATCGTGCCCAAACTGTTTGACCCACAATAAATTTGACTTTTTGATTTACTAAAACTATATCAATATTTTTCCTTAATTTTAATAAATCAATTTGGTTCTCTGACCAAGAAACAACTTTGAACAAGTGATACCTTCTCTATTACGAGAATTGTGATAATACAATTGCGACATACAAACCTCATCTTTTCCTTTTCTAGCCTTTTGGAACCAATTTTTAACAATCGCCACAATCTTCTCAACTTGTCCATTAGAGTTAGGTTTATACGTAGGTGCTAAAATGTGTTTGGTCTGTGACTCTGCACAAAACTGTTCAAATCATCACTTATAATGGCTAGACCTCTATCGGGCAAAACAGTGTCAGTTAAACCCAACCTGACCCATAATTCCCTTAATTTTAATAACAATTTTTGTTGTATACCTGCTTTTTATATTCTATCCACTTTGAATACCAATTTACTACTAAAAAGTATGATCATTTATTTAAATCAAAGAAATCAACGTGGATACGCTCCCACGGTCTTTTTTATTTAAGCCAATTACTGACTACCTCTATATATGGGGCATAGCGGCCCACGAATTACATGTAAGACATTTCTTTGTAATTTTTTCAATATCATTACCCATACCAGGCCACCATACACAACAAGATTTTATTTTATCCCGCCTCTGATGCTCAGCATGTAATAAATTTACAATTTTACTGCTTAATTTAAAAGGAATTACGGCCTTATTTCCCCGCTTTATACAATCATCCACAACGGACAATTCATTTTCAATTGTTCAATAAATTTTACAATTATTTTTCCATGGGTTTATTCCCGTTAAAATATATTATTTGACTCAATTCCTTTTCTATTATAATATTGAATTTTAAATCCTCCCAGTTAGTAGGACCACCTTTTAACATATGAGAAAGAGAAAGAACCAATGCATTCTCACTATCAATGACTTTCTTCTTCCCGATCTCAACCTGGATAAAATATCTGGCAAGCAATTTCTTTACTTCGCCGATATCTCAATTCCACATTAAAACTTCCCACTTATAAAATAGTGTTGTTAAGTTTTGAGCCGATTTTTAAAAACGGCTAACTCAATATTTTAGCCAGGAATTTATTGCCTAAGCCTCGAGATTTCGCTAATAGATGTCCAAACCTTTATTCCTTCCGATAAACGTAATCTTCAGGCTTGCGTAATATTATTCTAGATAATTTAGCCATTTAAAAATCGCCTTAAAACAAGCCGTTTGACAACACTACAACCAACGTTGTAATCGTGGAAACAACATCAATTCTCGATTATCCTTTTGAATAAATGAATTAATGGTTTATGATCGGTATAAATTACAAATTTTTTCCTTATTCAATATTCCTGGAATTTGATTAAACTAAAAATTACCGCTAATGCTTCTTGTTTGATAACTGAATATCTTGTCTCCACTTATCGGAAAACTCTCGAAGAAAAAAAATAATTGGTCTTTCCAACCATTAATTGTAATAATGCACTTCCAACACCTTTGTTAGATGAATCAATAGCTAATATTATCTTTAAATCGTTGTTAAAACATACCTAAACTGGCTCTTCCCCAATTTTCTGTTTTAACATTCTAAATGAAATTTGTTTTTCACTGGCCCATTTAAAATGAACTCCTTTTTGGAATAATATATATAAAGGTACTGCAATCCTTGCAAAATCATCTAAAAATATATGATAATAAATTACCATGCCCAAAAACGATTGTCCGCTTTATTTATTGGCAACTTCATATTAGATATAATCTTCAAATTTTTATACAGATGTTTCATATTCATCCCATTAATTTGATGTTCAATAGATATTTGTTACCCCAGGAACACTTACTTCTTTTCTGGCCCTCAGACCTTTGTCACGAATACTTTTGAAAACTTCTAAACGTTGATTATGATGCTCCAGTATTATACCAGTTATCAACACATCATCCATATAATAGAAAACTCCTTCTAGACCTTGGACAACTGATACCATTTAACGCTGAAAAATGCTGGCAAATTAATCCAAAGGGTAACCTACAAAAGGCAAATAATCCTTTAGGAGTCTATCGTAAAAAATATATAAATCTCTTCTTTTAAAGGTAACTGTAAATATTCGCAGAAGGGAAATCAACTTTTGAAAAATATTTTATACTCTTTAAATTGACAAAAAAAATTTGAATTCTAGGTAATAGATATTTTACTTCCACACCCCCTGGATTTAAAGTAACAAGAAAATTAGATTTTTTAACTGGAACCAACAGTGTGGCCCATTCACTATATTCAATCAGAATAATAATTCCATAATTTACCCATTTGTCTAGTTCGTCTACTATTTCCTTTTTCCCTTCAAAAGGAACTCTTCAACATGCTAAAAAAATGGGTGAAAATTCTCTAAGTTTAATATCTGCTTGATAATCATTAAGATGTGTTAACGTTTCTTCAAAAATTATACCATATTTTTTAACTAAAAATATGTATAGTAGCATTATTAACTTTATTAAACTCATTCATTCAAAAATTTATAATTTGATCTTTATTAATTTCCATATTTATTCTAGATCTAAATGGCTCTATCACTATTTTTTTCGGATATACTAGAATATGATTATCAACGGAAGGAGTTTCCTTCGTTCAATAAATTGGCCATTTCTCTTTCTCGAATTCGGATGATATCCGCAATTATTTTTCTTTCGGTATTATCAGCGGCTAATTTGATATCTATGATAAAAAAATCCAAATAATTTTTATTAGAATTTTAGTAATCCAATCCCACCCCATAATTGTTTCTACATTTTTTTCCACCACCCATAAATTTTAACTTATGGGGTTGTATGGCATCAAATTGTTTAACACACATATTTTCTTCTTCAATAATACCATGTGGACAATATTTATAAAAATTTTCTTTAAACATTATAGAATTGCTAGCACCGATATCAAACAACATATCAATGTACATATGGTCATTCCTTAATTTAACCCGAGGACAAGTACACTGTTTATTCAATCATTCCGTCATTAACATTTTATTTATTTTAATCGGCTTTACATTTTTTATTCGAAATTTTAATATCATTAGAATCCAAATTCATACATGAATTCATCTCGGAATTTAGAGGCTTTTTAAAATCATTAATATGTTTTTTAACAATACCCATAGGATATTTTTCCCATTTAAAATAATTATAAAACGTTTTATTCGGACTGTAATGATATTTAACATTTATTTTATCACCATGATGATAAAAATTTCTACCAATCCCTCCTTTTATGAGAGTTAAATTTCTTTTTACAAATATCATAAATTTGACATTGGTTTCGTATATTTTTATTGTTATAATTCACAATTCACTGGTCTCTCGACCTTTATATGATTATAACCGCAATCATATAATCAGTTTACGTTATTCGAAATTTTGCACAATTCATAGTCACATGTTCGGATTTTATATTTAAAACATAAACCTGCAAATCAAATTATTCATGATAATACCTGAAATTTTTCTTATATTGGAATTTCCCTACTGACTTTCTTTAAGAAAAATCAGCATAAAAATTTTGTTCCTTTACTATGCAAGTTTCAGATTTATGCCTTTTATAACCACATCAAAATTTTTACCAAATCTTTTATCCTTTGAAAAACTATTTTTTTTGTTTTGCCACATATTTGACATTTAAATGAGTTATTATTCATATTAATCAATTTATACATCCTGATATATAACTTTAGTCAAATCTTTTAGCTCCTTTAATACTTTTAGGATAACAACCGATTTTTTTTTAAATTATGGTGATCTCAATATTTTTCTTTAACCACATTTGGTTCACCATTTTTGATTTCATTTAAAATTACCTAAAATTACTTTTCAAATCCATTATTTTATACAAATAATTATCCGATGCAACGGGTTCTTTGTCCAATTCTTTTGATATTTTTTCCAATACACATGTATTACTATTTTTCGCCTGTTCCTTCAGTTTATTAAACATCATAATCAAAACTAATATTGTTCTTTTAAACAACAGAAACAGTTTCAAATTTTTTTCTACATTTCTTTATCAAATGTTAAATATAATTAAATTTTTAGTTATATTGAATTCATTAAATTTCTTATAATAAAAATCTTAAGTAAAACTTTGTTATACACATTATGCCTATTAAAACCATCGCATAGTTTTCTTTTAAAATTACCTTTCCAAAAATTTTAGTTGCACTGTGTTGTGGTTTATTTTTATATTACCTTTAGGTTTCGGTAAATCACACTTACCTGGGAAGAATCCTGATCAGTTCGGTACCAACTGACTATCTTAATATCTAAATTAAACTACAAGAATGAATATCTCTTTTATTAATATAATTTTGAGTAAGTCAAAAATAATTTCAAGTATATTATAAGAAAAATCCAATAATTTAATAAAGATAAAAAAAAAATCTTCATTAGAGAGAAATTGTAATATTAATATCATAATAATACATATTATTTCTATTATTATTTATGATTGATAGTTACATTCTAATGATATATATATTAAAAATTACGTAAGGCTACAACAGTTTTGTGTATATTCAATTACTTGTCTGGTTATAATATTTTATTGTAAAATAAATTCTATTTACAAAAATATAATATAATGAAAAATCATAATCTTTCGTTTTACTTTATGAATTTGAATCGGAAAATATGAAAACTGTTATCGATATATCCTTATTTTATAAGTGATAAAAATGTTAGGATTAAAGGTATATAATTTTAATAATTAGATTTTCAAATAATGTTAAAAAGTAACAACTCAACAGATAAAAAGTTATTTATGTTATTTATATATATATATATGATAAAAATAATTGTTAAAGATTTAAATTGTAAATATCATTTTCCTAGACGGGGATTTCGTCGATCCCTTAGAAGGTTGATTCCATTATTCTCTGAGTAAACAACTGTCTCTATAGGCGTCCCTTTAGCTAATTCTGCAAAGGTCTTCACTTATATATAATGTGTGTATAATGAATTTAAACAAAAAAACTAAAATATCATAAAATTTATTCAGTCTTATAAAGACTTTATAATGTGGTATGTTTTTCTGAAATAATGACTTAATATTTCTCAATTTGAAATCATTTATAACCATAATTTTTTCAAATATCTATTTTAAAGGAAATTTATTTCAGCATGTGAATCTTGTGAATTCAAGCCAATTGTATGCGAACTTTTAAACTACTCTGAAATATCCGACATATTAATTTATATCTAATATATATAACCTCCATAATCATAACATGATTCTTTTCGTATCTCCCTAATGTATTTTAAATTTAAGGAGACTATATAGTGTAATTTTAATTTTATCTCCATAATCAAAACACGTTCGTTTTCTTATCTCCCTAATGTATTTTAAATTTAAGGAAACTATATAGTGTAATCTCTCTACGAGAATCGAACACAAGCCTCCCGTTTCAAATTCATATGCTTTAGGCATGCACCAATTTGAATATAAATAAATTTAAAATATTAATTATATATAAATTAATTAATAGCTGATATTTTTTAAATTCTGCCGTTTATTATTATTACCATACTAGCTGATGGGGTTGAAGAGTAATTATTTAGTTTGTGTGTATGGTATTAAATATACATTATTAAATAAATATTATATAAATATTAAAATTTAAGAGAAAAAGCGATAAAACTGTTGCAATGCAATGTATACCGTGAGCATGTATTAGAAATATCAAAATTTAAAAATGTGATGGAAATCTTATTGTATAAAATTTAAAATAGTGGTGCTTTAAGATTTTTGAATTTTAAATATGGGTTATATAGATTGGTCTAAAATTTAATTTGCAGACATAGCGAGGCCTGATCAAATAACCATGTCCCATGCAACTTTCATAAATTAATTGTTGACATTTTAAAAATTTTGCTTGTGCATTGAATGCATTGAATACACACCTAATATTATACACATATTCCTGAATATTTAGGGGCTAAATAGAACTTTAAATGCTTAACGGGTAAGTAAAGAATATAAAAAATGGAGAAATACAATATAAAATTATGAGGTGCAAAATGGGACGATTACAATAACAAGTTATAAAATTTAAATTACCAGATATATTTAATAATTATAATTCAATTGATCCATTAATATATGGTTTAAATCTTGTAATATAATTATTTTACTAATATTCAATCCGCAAGTTGGCGTTTTATTTTTTTATCACAATTTAAAATTATTTTTTGCTTTATATATTTCTAAAAATTATATTAATCTATAAAAAAAATTGATTGAAACAAAATGCAAATTGCTAGATTTCTAATATGGTTTTTTAATAAATGCAAATATTTAAGTTTATACTTACCTATGTTTATAAAAGCCACTAAAACAAAATGATATTTTTTTAAAATAATTTTGGAATACTTGGTATTGATATCAAATAATTTTTTATAAATTTAGCAGACTTGGGAAAATAAATGATATCACATAACGTTTTAAAAGAAAAAATATATTTTAACTGGGATATATTCCTTATACAAATTTTATATAAAATATAATGTTTGTCGGATCCGGCCGATACCTGTAAAAATCCCGATCCGATCCTATCCTTTTACTAAAAATGCAATTCTTAAAACTTTTGACTAATGAAACTTTGAATTATTATTACATCATATTTATTATTTTTTTAATAAAATTTTTTTTTTTAATATTTAAAATACATAAATAAATAATATATAAAAAAATAATAAATTTTTCCGAGTTTCAGTGAGTTTTTATTTTACATTAATAATATTTTCTAAATAATTTTTTTTAAACAATGCAAATGTTATTTATTTTTTAAAATAGATTTTAAAAGTTTTTTTATAAAAATTGAAAGGAACACTCAAAGTTTTATTAATTTTTAATTGTTTTTAAAAAATAACACTAATTTTATTATTTATACTATAAATAAAAGAATTATTTTTTTCTGAATTATGGAAATATTTTGATAAAGATAAAGAGAATTTTGCAAAATGCGTTATCTGCGGAATTCTAATTTCACGGGGAGGAATAATGAAAAATTCATTTAATATAACAAATATTCGAAAACATTTAAAGCGATTCCATCAAACGGAATTCGAAGAGCTAATACAAAAAGAACGAAAAATATTAGAAAAAACAAATCAAATTTAAAAAAAATAGCCCTGAAAGACAGCCAACAATATCAGCCATTCTTAATAAAACTAATATTTGGAAATATTCTGGCCTGAAAAACTAGAGGCTCTTACATTTATTTAAAAAAATCTATTATAATATAATTTTATATGATAAATATTACAATTTTACAAACCAATATAAAATGAAATGGATATATTATTATATTTATTTTATCTATTATAATATAATTTTTTTTAAATTATTGTTGAAATAAAAAAATTTTAAATATATATTTCTTATGCATAAAAAATATTGATTTCTTAATTACATTTGGTTCAAAGAGGGGTGGTGAAAAATCAATATAAATATCGGATCGGTTTTGAATCAATATCGGATCGGTTCGGTAAAAAATATGTGGATCGGCATAGCCCTACTGTAAATACACTCTGTTTTTACAAAATTCACCGAGGCATTATCAGATCAGAAAGCTGACATACAATTTATTGATAATCTCGAATCTGCTATACTTACAATTATATGGTTAGCTATGTCTTTAGATTTTTCACTATTTGAGGGGAAATTATTTAATAGTTTTATTGAAACGACCTTAATTTTGTTGAAATAGCGGAGGATCAAGGGAAATATTTTAATATTTCCCTTATTAGATGCATCTGTTAGAATTGCATATGTATGTCATCTTTCAAATCGTCAAGAATTGACCTCCATTTAGGTCCTAAAACATTGATGATAGCCTTGCTCATTTTTTTTCTACAAGTATAGTTTTCATTTATATTAGAGTCGTTAAATATTATGGGGGAAAGATTCTACCAACATTGTGATGATAAGTATCTCTGTG